CAACAATAGAAGATTTCATGCTTCATCACAGATCTGTAAAAAAGGGAGAGCTATTAAAATGCTAATACTCATTAATAGGGTTTTCTGGTGTTTAACTTAAAACACAGAAAATAAAGATGAGCGACAGCCTGTAAAATGGGAGTGACACTTGTAGTAAAAACATCTCAAGCAAGCACAAAATAGTGCAGGGAATTATAAGCAATGGCTGAGTCCATCCCTGCTGGGGGTCAGGCCAAATAGCATCAAAGGATCACCAACCCTTAATGCATTTTAAGGACTAGAAGGCAGAAGAGACCATTCAGGACTTATCAATATGGCTTGTGATTCTGGAGGAGTTGATTGTGTAGTATTTTTAGAGTGACAGACAACCAACTTTTTAGTAAAAGTCACATATTTTGTCAAATGCAGTATAAGATTTTAGGATGTTTTGTACAATGTTTGTTCTTAGGATCATGTTTTGCTTGGTCAGTTTCTTGTCCTGTACAAAGGGCCTTAATAAACATTTTATCTTTAGTGGAAATGTCCGTGAAGCTTTATCTGTGATGAAGTGTAAATTTTCATTTGGCGGCCTGCTGAACTTCTCATAATAAAGTGAACTGTTTGAGTTTTTTCAGAAATCAGGAGATTTCAAGTACAATTGGTTTGAGGCTTGTTTGTTTAGCCTTTTGTTTGTAATTAGGTTACCAAAATTATGTTTCTAGGAACAAGGTTAACCCTTTTAATGGAAGATGAGTTTCCCCCCCAGTGAAGTGTTCTACGTTAAATTATTCCAACATAAATGTCAGTTATAATGTACTATTATATAACACACACTATTGTCAGGCTTCTTTGGTGCTGCTTAATGAGGTACAATCATAACGAAGGAGAAAAATGTCCCAATTGTTGCTTTTTCAGAGATAGCCTTGTTCATGGATAATGGAAAATAGCAATAGACATACATATTTATTCAGAATTCCCATGGAGTTCAGTGGGACTTACTTCCAGTGAAGTAAGTGTGGGAATGCAACCCATGTATGGTAAAAACTTCTTAATGTTGTGGCCTGTCTGCAACATTGTGCTTCTCTAATCTTCTTTCTGCCTGCTTCTGCAGCTTCAGAATTCTGTAGGCTTCCGCGCTCATGGTTGCTAGTTTTTGATGAACTTGGGGTGGCTAATGTTTTCTCTACATATGGATCACACATTAATACTTTGGTGAGTTGGGTCCTTTTGGAAAATTTGGGACAGAATTCAACAGGAGCTATCTTTGGAATTTATTAGTTTACAACTTCTTTGTAATGATCAGAAAAGGGTGCCGCTCCTATTTAATAAAGAAACTTTTTGGAATGTCTTTCTTACCTCAGGAACATAGGTGGTAGCCAGTTTAGTTCCTGTCCTCTTCCCCCGAACACATGTGGCTGTTAACCTTCTCGTCTTTCCTTTCCTTACTCCAGCTTTATTGGCCATACTGGTAGGCAGACTTCTGTGTTCTCATGACATCATCAAATGCTGGTAATATCCATAAAGAACATTCCAAAGACTTAATCACCCACATGCTGCCTGCTAATAAAATAATGCCTTTCAAAAGCAGTAGACTTTGGAACATTCTGACACAAACCCTGCTTATCCAGCATGGGATACTGTATTTTTTGACTATAAGCCGCCCCCATGTATAGGACACCCCCCACTTTTACCAATTTCTGAACAAGCAAGCTGCTGCGCGTGTGCTGCCTCCCTGCCCGCACGCACTCGCACCAGTCTCCCCCACATCGCGTCTGCCCCCTTGATCACGCCCGGGCCCGCCTTTCCCCCGATCGCGCCTGCGATCACTCCATCCTCTCCCCTCATGCGCCCACAGTTCTCCTCTTGACTCCCCCATGTATAAGACGCCCCTCCATTTTTAGATAATTTTTTTAAAGAAAAAGTATCATCTTATACACAGAAAAATACAGTAACTGTCAATCATGTGTGATTAGTTTTCCTACCAGGTATGAGGTAAGGAAGCCAACAGATCACACTATTCTACAGATGATGCTGAGGTTGTTCACACTGCCTTTTTCATATAGGAGACAGTAATGTTAGGTTAGATTCTTCTGAGATAAATTTTGTGAAGATAAGAATTACAGCTCTCTCAATCAAGCACCAGTATGCCATTTCCCCATTTCCTGCACTTCAATTCCATTCCCTCCTAGGCTATGCTGTTCATGGCATTAGATGGTGTTGACTTTTGCCAAGCACAGATTTTTTAATGTGTAATGAATCCCAGAAGTTCTTGCCTGCCCCCGGCCAGCCTCTGAAAGAAACACAGGACTGTCAGTTTTGGACACAGCATTAAACCAAAAGCAGGAAATCATTGTTGACTGGCATAGCTGCACGCAAATTTTCAGCTGCCCATCTGCACACCCATATGCGTGGTTGTGCATATGGCAAGGTTGTGGGGGAGGAACCATAGCACACTCAGATTGTAAACAGCAGGAAGAGATTTTGTGATTCAGAAATTGAGAGCTAATCATTCTCTCTTGATCACAGCTAATGTGAGTTCTAGAATTATTTCTAGGATTAAAGACAGTTTAAAACATGTAATGAACAAAGGAGGATAAAATGATGACAAAAGTATGATTGTATTTGGTATATTTCAGATTGCTTGATATGCAGTGCCTAAAATTGTATAGGGTACAATTATGAAACATTGGTTGAAAACCTCAGTATTGCCAGTGCCAGGAAAATGCTCTATTTAATCTTTACAGTAGGTCTGGAGATGAAAGATGAAACATCCCATAGAAGTCAGAGGTGGCAAGCAAAAAAAAAAAAAAAAGACCATCTCTGGTTTCAAGCCTAATGCAACCTCTGTGTCTCAAGGTTATTTTGCATATTACTTTTTCAAGCATGATGTGAAAAGGAAAATGTGTGTACCGTATAATGTGTGACAGGTGTGTGTGTATATGCCAGGAAGCAAATGCTACCATGGCTCCTTGATATGTGAGCCCAAGATGTTAAACTCACACTCATTACACTTCCCACCCTCCAATATGCACCCTTTTTCCATTGCTGAGGTCAGTTTCATGTTTGAAAATGTAAGACCTATATAGCCCTTGGAGAAGATGAATTAGAGCAGAAGCATTATTCTTTGTGGTTTGTGCATTGCTCTGCATGCGTAGAGCTGTTTCAGGAAGATTCCTACGCTGATTAATTATTATTTGGTGGGAGCCCATCCCCTAGGCATGGCCAGCATGCAGGGAGGGGCTCCCACCGAGAACTCAGTTCTTCTTCAACAGCCATTGTGAGTGCATCGGGAAGTTCCTCCTGTACTACTTACCTCGCAAATGTTGCTTTTTCGACCCTCCTCAGACTTTCTATCATCTCCAGGTTTTTCTTCTACTTTGTTTTTTCTCCTCCTCCTCACTAAAATAACTAAATAAAAACAAAAATTATATTATCCCTTCTTTTTCTCACCTTCCCCCCCCACTCTTTACCAGCTTCTTCAACTTTCACCCACTTGACAAAATGATGCTTAAAGCTCTATTCTACAATGGCATGTGGCATTAAAATACCACCTACTGATGGACACTCCCTGTGTCTTTTTTGCCTGGGATAAACTTAACATTGTTGATGCCTGCTACCACTGCCAGGCATTTACCAAACAGACAGACCTCCTAAAAGCAGAACTTCGGGGCCACACCCTACACAGGGACAATGCCCAACCATCCACTTTAGGTGCACCTACCTCCACTAACCCAGACAAACATCCAGATATCCAGTTTTAGTTTTATTTTGCAAAAAAGAGTTTTTCTCTTGATCACTACCACCACCATGCCCATGACACACTAGGTAAAGTTTTTAAAGGGTCACAATTATGAGAGTTCAGATCTCACATTAGATGGGCAAGGTCTAATATGATAAGTGTGGGTGAGGAACACAAGGTTGAGTGCTGTGACTAGAAATTAGCTAAAGAAACTTGAAAGCATTTTAGACTAGCAGTTCCCAACTTGGTGCTCTCCAGATGTTTTGGACTACATCTCACATAAGCCCACACCATAGTCCATGCCAGCTGGGCCCATGAACACTGGAGTCCAGCATATCTGAAGGACACCCCATTATTGGTACGAGCCTCAAAAGCAGCTACCACTTCTGAGGTGGCCTCAGTGGGGAATCTTCCAGAGAGCATGACAAATAATCTTTTCTGACACTTTTAAAGCCCACTTTCAACCTCAGCAACCATGTAGTTTTTGCTGGCTCAGCCCTCGCATAAAGACTAAACACACAATCAAGCTGGCTTCCAAGCATTCCAAGGAGCTGCCTAAAGATAGAGCTGAGCTGTCTGCCTTTTTGGACCTGCATGCTGCTAATTACTTGAAGCATGGCAAGAGCTTTTTGACAAAGAGGTTGTGATAACCAGGCTTTCCACCTCTGCTTTGGCTCCTACTTTATCTCTGGTGATACTGGGGTTCTGCTTGCCTTTCACCTAATTAGGAGGCTGCATGACAGTGTGGGTGACCATTAGGTAAAGTTAGGTGGCCACCTTGGACAGCAGCTATTGGGATGTAGAGAGCAAAAGTGAAATGTTGGAGGATGAGTTGTTTGTGCCATAGTGACCTTTTCCTCTTCCCTTAAGATATTTAGCTGTTCTCAGTTGCCAGAGTTGAAGTAAAATTGAAATAAACTTCACTTCTTAATGAAGTTGCACAAAAGCCATGCTCCTTTCCTGCTTGTTGTTGGTGTATGATGTGTGATGGTTGCATATCAGCTAAGTAGGAATGTGTGTTCCTCCATTCTTGAGGGCACAGTCACCAAGGCCAATTCTCTGTGCCTCAGAGGAAGGACAGGAATACCAGCAATCTTCCTAAAGTTCTAATCATATATTAATGTGCAGATTTTTAAGATCATCTCTACAAGCTCATAATATAAAGTTTCAGTGAATGTGTGACTTCACAAATACTTGAAATTCAGTTACAGATCAGCAGTTTGGTTTTCCTCAGATTTCTGAGATTCATAGATTTAGTATCTCTGTTTTTTAATTTCCTTAGGTCCTTTACATCCATCAGAAGTGAACTGATCCCATATTTGGTTAGGAAGCAATTTTCTTCTCCTGCACTAGTGCAACAGGAACAAAACAACAAAGAGCATGACCAAAAGAAAAAGGACCAGAAAACTTTAGGTGAGTGCAAACAGAAGACCTAGACCTGGAAGAAAGAGAAACTGAAATCAGTGTGAGAATATGCTTCCAGTATGATGATTATGTAATAATCCAAATAAGTAGTATAATGCATTATATATGGGACTGCCATTGGAAATGGTATAGAAACATTAAGCAATCCAGAACAGAGTAGCTAGATTGTTAATGGAGACTAGCCAATACACAGTACTTTGTCATCTTCATTGGCCGTCTGTCTGTTTCCAAGACCAAGTCAGAATGCTGTTTTTAACTTTTAAAGTTCTAAATGGCGAAAGAGCATATTCACTTGCCCATACCTTCAAGATATAATCTCTGTTTAGGTGCTCTGTTAAACAATATGAGGTAGATAATTGCAAGAGAGAGGTCCTTTAAATGGTGGTTCCCCACCTATGAATATCTTCCTCGAAGAAGTTCATGTGGCCCCTACATTATTGCTGTTTATTTATTTATATCATTATTTTTTTTTTGGTACCAGGTGACTTTTTTATTTTCCCAGGCATTTCTGGAACTTCCTAGTGATTTTAAACCTTTGCATTGTTTTTCCCTGCTTCAGCTTTTATTGTCTACTGTTGCTGAATTTAACTTCCTTTCATGTGATCTGTTTTTAAAGTATTTTTATCCTGATTTGCAGACAAATAAGGTTTTCTCTAAACAGCTCATAAAACAATATAACAACATACCATAAAATTTTATCAAAATACAGCATTTTAAAATGAAACATTAAAAACAGCTAAGACAACATGCAATGAAGACCAGCCCTGTAAAAAACACATGTAATGGGTAATCCTGCCGAATTCATGGATATCCCAGTATATCTTTAAAGCCATGGCACAGAGAGCCATCTTAACCTTGCTCCAAAAAGATGACAAGATCAGCACCAACCGTCCTCAGTTTGTGTGTGAGGGGGCCATTCCATAGGCAGGGGTCCACCACAGAGAAAGCCCTCTGATGTGGTGTTGTGGCAGGCACTGTACATAAGAAAATGAGCTGCAGGCTCTACCTTCATACGTACAACCAAGGCACACAAGGAAAGCCAAGAAGAGAGAAAAATAGAGAAAGATAATCCATTACATAATGCCAGAATCAAACCACAGTTTCCCATTATGTCTAAGCTAAGAGAACTGTTTTTTTTTAAAGCCAGGATCAGGATTTGGTTTCAGATTCTGGCTAGTTCTAATAAATCAGTTGAAAGAAACAGTTCCATGAACTCTCAGATAATAAAAGGAACTTTGGTTTGTTTAATAGCGGAAGTTTCTCGTCTTCTTCTCATAGCCAGGCAAGAGGATGAAGTTTTGCAGATTTGTCCATCTAGTGGAAAACTGTTACAGCTGATGGTAACCAGCCCATGATGTTCTTCTTGGAGAGAAGAAGGGATACCTGTACCATTAGTCTCTGCTCCTGTGGCCTATGGCTGGGTCCAGTGGCCCTCCTTTTGCTTCTGCCATTCTGGGATAACTGACAGAAAAAAAGGTGTTTCTGACATTTAGAGGGATGTAAGCATTGCCAGCATCTTCATTTCTGTACCATCTCATTCCACAGCTTCCTGAGCAGTTCACAAATGGATGCTATGATGTATTAACTGTGAGGGAATGAGTAAAAACTGCCAAGACGTTTGTTTCCTTGGACAGTGCCCACCAGTGCAATGTAAGCTCATCTGCAGGCTGACTCTTTATAGAAAGATGAAATCTCAACACTCCTCCTACCCACCCCTGTTCGTTTTAGTCTAGTCCATTCTGTATAACATGAGGACTTAAGTATGTAAAATTGCGCTATATCCTTTCCACATGTTATGTTTTGCTCTAAACCCACTTTTATATCTGTCTGCAGACATCTATAACTACCTGAAGGACGGCAGTCTGTTTGAATTGGGTACAGACAAAATGTGTTGGAACAACCGTAGAGGAGACATGAAAGAGGCATTCCATGAAGGGAAAGTTCGTTGCTATGTTCATATCATGGAAGGTGGGCTGTGCTATCGAGTAAACACTCTTGGGCTGTACATTGAAGCTAATAGGCAAGTGAGTAAAAGAAAAAAAAACTCTTTTCAGCACAGCACTGCACTACCTGCATGCTTTTCTGTCTACTAGGCTAGTTCTGAAATATTGCATGGCTTTAGGAAGTTAAAGAATTATCTACAGATGCAAGAGTCTAATATGGAATAAAGTCCTAGGATCGTGGATGTATAAGCCAGGGAATTGTATTTCTTACTTACAGAATAATCTTAAGTTGTAGCAGGATGGGGAATGATTGTCTTCTGTTGCCAAAGTCCTATCAGTTCATGTCAGCCAAAGTAGCAATAGGGAAGCCATTTTACCAGTCTTTTAGCTCAACAGATTCCATCTATTTTTTAATTTTAGTACACCTCAAAACCAATGAAGGGGAATTAGCTACAATGTCTCTAGGCTGGCGTAGCTGGACAGTTCTATTTCAAGGCTTCTTGGAGCGATGGAGGGCCTTTGGATTCAAAATTGTCCCCACCCCTATAATGCCATGGTTTCAAACCTGCTACGGCAGGGACACTGCAGTTGCCTCTCTAATCCAGCAGAGCATTCCACAGATGTGACATAGTCCCACCCACCTGCACCTACTGATGGAGCTCTTCTTTATCAGCATAGGGTCATCCCACACTATCTTAGCTTTCTCCAGCCAGCAGGTCTGAGAGACTTGCGTGCACAATTCATTCTTTGGTGGATATATCATGCAGCCTGAAATTTAAAATCATAGATAAAATTACTTCTGAAATTATTCATAGATGTGAGAAAAAAGACAGTAAGATACAGTTGAGGGGTAAGCTAGGTAGTAGTTGGACTGGAATTTCTCCATCTTGGCTGTATCACTGAATGGCCAAAGGTTATTCACACATTTAAAGGATTTGCCTACAAAAGACACAGCCATTGCTCAAAAAATGGTTCTGGCATATATAAGAGGAATCAGTATTTGGGGCCCATGTTAAGCATTGTTAAGATGGTAGGCATTTTTATGACAAAAAATGTACTGCTGCTAGCAATGCTAAAGTTGAACTGCAAAGGCTAAAAGAAAGAAAGATAGTTTTTGTGTTTGGTAGCCTGTTTAAGAAGCTACAAAACTGAGCTAGTCCAGATCTTTTCTCCACTTTAAAAGTATTGAACTAGTTGAAACTTTTAGGATTACTATAAGAATTTGTTTGTACCTGTGTGATAATCCCAACTAATGTATAAAATCCTCAGAATGATCAGAGAAGATTTTCCTTAAATCATTAATTTTCCAGGATGATATTATTATTGAGGAAATTATGCTGAGTAAAGCAATACAGCAAAAATTAATGAGTCCTTAAAGGCTATACTTATTTATTTATTTATTTACTTACTTACTTACTTACTGAATTTCTGCACTGCCCACTAGCCAAAATGGCTTTCCAAGTGGTTTACAAAACATAACATCAAGATATACAATAAAACAGTAAATTGAAATCTACATGCATACTAAACAATAAAATAACAATAGCGCGCGTGTGCATGGGTGCACACAAACACACACACACCACACAATAAAACCCCATAGCAGCCGCAATTCAGATTAATCCAAATTATTTCTGATATTTTTACTTTACCTAGTAAAAGATATCCCTTATGGTTTTATGTATGCATTCCCCCCCCCCCCACTTTCCTTTCAACACTGCTTTTGCTGTTTCAGTATAGGAAGTGTCAGTCATCCATTCCAGTTGTTTGTGAGTTAAACAATTGGGAGCTGCAGAAATCATGTAAAAATGAGGCATTAAATTCAGAGACCCTACCTGTAACACTGTTCTCCTGAGCTTTTATGTAGACTTTTTGTTTGCATAGTGTATGGTAATGTTGGAATGACCATTCTTTCATGTACACGTGACAGGGAAACACATTTGGCTATAACTCACTTGTTTGGGTACATGCCATGAAACAGATGTATGTACACATGTGAGAGTGTGAATGCAACATATACTTTTTATCCATAACTGGTGAAGCAGCCGTTAATGCTGATGAAGCAGCAGCAAGAGAACAGCAGTTTACTTCCCTGCCCTTGTAGTCAGGAAATGTTTTACTTGTTTCAGTTGACCTCTCAAGCTTGCTGCTGCCTTTGTGTGGGCAGGTGGCAGCAGGAGGGAGTAGCTCCAAGAACAGGAAGTAGGTTTATTCACAAAAAGGAAAAGCGAAGTTAAGCCTCCCCTTGACCCTGGCATTCCCTGAAACCCTGTTCTCTTTCATCTCTTCCTTTTTATCTGTAAAGGAGCTGCTGCCGACTCTGGTCATTTCTCATCTTGCAAATGCTCAGATAATGTAATGGAGGATTGTGTCTTGATTATACCTGGAAACCATTATTTATGCCCTTTGCTAGCTTCACTCAAGTCTAATGATAATGGAACTGAAAACACTTCTATGCCATTACATATTTTTCAAGCATATTAAACTGAACAGCATGCTCATTAGCTTGACGTGCTTTGGGTGATCATATATCTACTTTCCTGCTGCTTGTGGCTCATCCCTTAAGCCTTGGAATATTCTTTGTGATAGTTAGATGTAGCAAGTTACATGCCAGTGATCTCTAGTTGGCATTCAGAATATGCAAAGAATGAACAGATATGTGCCTATCAGACTTCCAGGTAGCCTGAAACATTGCTATGTAACCAGTGGTGTAATTTTGTTAGCACAACAATTCTCTCTCTTGAAGAAATCCTGTTTTATCTGTACACAAGTATAAACCCTAGTCAATGACTGATTGACAGTAGTCTGATTCTCCTTGCACAACTCATTACAGCCTCATTAAGCTAGGTGTTGCTTGCACTAATTATGCTAATAGTTCTGTTAACAATTTGTGCACAGGTAAAGGAACAGCACCTCTTGTATATTTCCTGCTGATGTGATGTTGGAAACAACCGAATAACTTAATAGAATGAGGCAAACCTGGTTCCATGTCTTGCCTACATGCCAGTTTTTTTACTTGTTGAAATACTTTAGTTCTGTCTGCAATACAGTTTTTCTGTGTATTTTCTCCTGTCCAAGATCTGGATAGCAGAACTTGCTTACTAAAAGATTACTTTGACAGATCTATATTTATCTTGAAACAATTGAAAATGTTTCTTCTCTTAAGGTCCATCACTGATTATTGTATCTTAGTTTGTTGCTTTAGTAGTCCTTTCATCAATGTATAAAATCCTGCTGCTTTATTGAGTATGTGCACAACTGCACAAAGATCCTTTTTCTTTTTTATTTCCCTTAGGTGGGAGGAAAGGAGTTTGTCATGAGACAATTTTGAGTGGACAGGTAGAAGAAAGGGAAAGTGTTAACCACTGTCTTCTCCTCTTCTTCCCTTCCTTCTGTGGTTCTCATTCCAATTTTCAGTTTCCTCGGTTGACTTTTGTTTTGTCTTTTAAAGTCAGGAAGAAACACCTCAGAACTAATTATTACTGACCTAATAATAATTGTAATAATTTGACCCTGACCTGAGATTTGCAACTAGGTTTATCACCTCCAAATCATAGCCCTCTGTTCACACAATGTATTGTTTGTAATATGTATGGCTGAATGTATATTGTTAAGCTGCATGCGTAATTTGGCTTAATATAGTTAATATGGAAGGGGTTGTATATTGCTATTCTGCAGAATCTCCTGAAACCTGGGTGATTGCTACTTACTAAAGGAAAAACCATCATACCATGGTTGGTGTTATGTATGTGCACATTCATTGATTAATTAGTAATGATCATCTCTATATGTTTCTTCTCTGGTCACATGAAGACATTCATTTGTAAATGCTCAGTAAACTAAGGCTGATTGCAATTATTTAAAATAACCAATGCAGAGAATAGTTTTTGCCTACTCACTTGGATTTCATATTGGACTTCGGATTTCATATTCCAGGTGTCTAAGATGCTGCCTTCACTGTATTCAGAAGAACCACTGGTTCACAGCACTGCAGAAATCATTGACAAATGCCTGGTCAGTAGCAACATCAGCATGTAATGGGGTGCGGGTGGGGGGACACAAACATTGGACGTCCTTTGCATGTTGTTGTAACAATGTCCTTCCTTTTTCATTCTCTATATAATGCAACAAAAGCTCTCAGAGGCTGCATTCAGGTGGTTATATCTGTGCCCGTGCATATATAGCTTCCATTCTCCCTTCTCAGTGCCAGAATGCAATAAAGAAGTCTCCAAAGCCTATTCAGACATTCTGAACCTGAACAGAGCAAACACATTAGGAGGAGTGCTCCAGCCTTGCTCCTCTCCTTTGTCGAGATCGCTGCCCTCAACTCATGGAGGTTGACTGTCTGAAGAAGGAGAACCTTGTGTATCCATGAAAACTCCCCATGTGAGCCAGAAGACTAAAAATGTGTGTTGTAGCTTGTATGGAGAACCTCCATGGACACAGGAGGCTTTCCTCTTCAGACTGTCATCCTCCACGACCTGAGGACAACAAATGTGATAAAGGAATGCTCCTTCTTCTCATGTGATAAAGGTGGAATGCTCCTTCTTCTCATGTGTTTGTCCTGTTCAGGTTCAGAATGCCTGAATAAGGCTGAAAGAACTATAGTTTGTCCAAAGCTGAGAAACAATGACCGCCAGCTGTGTAAGAAGCCGGGATCTTAAATCAACTGTACGTCATGATTTAAAATGCTGCCTTTTTTTCAAAGCCAGTAATTATAGTGTCCTGGTTCAAACAAAATAAGAAACTATGGCTAATTGTAGACTTCCACATTGAGGTACCCTATGAAAGGAAGTGACTGCTTACATTTTCCAAACCAGACCAGAGTTTGTGTCCAGCTTCCAAACGGTCCTTAAATGAGACAGCTTATCTCAGAAATGCTTTGAGTTTTGAAGGGGATGACTGGAATATATCAATTGTTGAAGATCATGGGCTTGCATGCATATCCAGCCAGCACAGTGCAACAGATAACTAATATGCCCTGCTGTAAATAGTAGCTATTGCCTTCTGAGAGCAGGTCAGCTGGCATTGTGCTTCTGCTTCTTTTTCCTGCTCCTCTATACCTTTCAGGGATGTAGCCAAAGGATCTTGACCAGTTCAACACCATTGCTGCAATATGGTAGCTGTAGTGCAGCCACACAGCTCAAGGTGAACAAAGGCTACCCTCCTCTGTTCTGCAGACCTTGAACAGAACAAAGCAGACCTTGTTCATCACTCCTGGAACTTTGGACCACTGACACACTTCATTTGACTGAGGGAAGTTATATGGGGCATCACACATCTTATTCAGCTTTGCCTTATTGGCTTCTGTTTATGCTTCCTTGGGTGTATTTTGTCTGCTAATTGGTCCCAACAGCCCAGGAATAGAGTTCTCAAGGGCTCCATAATGCTCTGACAGTTTGACAATATTTTCTTTTTGCTTCTGTCTAGGTTGGATCTGACAGCATTGTAGGTAAATCTACGCAAATAGGAGAGAAGACTGCAATTAAACATTCTGTCATTGGCACTGCATGTGTGATCAAAGATAAAGTTAAAATTACTAACTGCATCATCATGGACTGTGTCAGAATTGAAGATGGGTAGGTGTGTCTTATGTTTACATTAGGGGTATTGAACCACAAGGATTTACTGATGGAAAAATGTCCCAGACATTTTGGACCTTTGGTGAAAGCTGTTTTGTCAGCATGAATAGCTGAATGAGGAATGTGAAAACACTGAGCTTCATTGATGAGGATTTGAATATGCAAATTGGATAAAGCTGGGAAAGATTTGCATAGGTGTGTAAGATTGGGAAGCTAACATCTGTGGTCTAGAAAATGCCATTTTTTAAAAAAGGGCCCAGGAAATAACAGGATGATTAGCTTAATGTCTGCTCTGAGAAAATTGGTGGAAAGTATTGCTAAAGATACAGTTATCAAACATTTAGGGCAAGTGATGCTGAAGAAAAGTTACCAAGGTTACTCTGCAAAGGTAAATCCTGACTCACCAAACTTAAGGTTTTTCAGGAATGTCAACATGGGTGATCTGGGAAACACTGTTTGGATTTTCAAAAGGCTTTTGTCCATCACCAAAACTTGTAGTTAGATATGAGGAGATGTTTTGGGCTGGTGCCTGATAAAAGGACAAAAAGCAGCACATGGAAATAAATGGACATTGATCACAAAGTTTCACAGTGCTTTTCCAGGTATGAAAGGGTGTATGTATGTATGTATTTTGTATAAGAAGCCACCCAATAGCATAATGCTCATAATATAAAGTACATCAAATGCTGGCAACCAAAGCACAACTTAGAATGACACCATGTGGAGTTGTACACCAAATGAGCAACAAATATCCATTTATGTCCACCAAATGTTGATTATTTGAAAATGCACAATGATTGTTTGTGCTAAATTCCCGAGAGTTCTGTAGATCATCAGACTGATAATCAGACTGAATTTTCTTCCAAGCTATATATCAAATCTTATCAAGCAACTGAAAATAGGTTTTGTTCTTTTTGGCCTCTACAATGGTTAAAAATCATCCATCCTGGAAGAAATGAGAAATTCAGCACCCATAAGGTTTTTCATTGTACAGCTATGATTAGCTCACTTTCTTGGCTAAGAAAGTTTTCACCTGGCTGGAAGACATACAGAGGAATTTAGAACTTATAGCCAAGCAACACCTGTATACAGTAATTTCATGTTAAGTCAAAATAATTTATTTTGTATTTGTCTGTAGGTATAAAGCAGTTTATCTTTATGGCAAGTTTGGTTTACTGATTTGGATGGACTTTTAACTATTGGCTTTCTCAGCTGCTTTTGATACCATTAACCCTGATATCTTTCTGGATTGTTTATCAGGGTTGGATTTAGGGGGCACAATGTTAAAGTGAATCTGGCCCTTTCCAGAGTTGTCTCAGAAGGTGGAACAGGGGAGAACTTCTCTTCCACTCAGTGATTGATTGCCTGTGGTTTGCTTCAAGGCACCACCCCGTTTTCCATGCTTTATAACATCTGCATGAAACTGCTTCAGGGAATTATCAGGAGATTTGTACGAAGTATCATCAGTATGTGGGTGACACTCAGCTTACCCTCTTATTTCCATATGCTAACTCAGGGAATGCTTGAACCAGTGCCTGGTGGGTGTTAGAAATTGTTAGACAATTTTTCCTGGGTCTTATCTATGCCTTTGATAGTCACACTGGGATAACATAACATTTAGTCATGGGATAAATTCTAATAGATAACTTGCCTGGATACAGGAGATTCCCCACAGAAACACTGACTCCAACAGGAAATGTAACATCTACATTAGGTCAATTTGACAGAGAATGGGAGAAGGAACAGTGATGGCTTAGCAACAAAGTAGGCTCAGTTTAGTGTGAGATGCATGTTCTAAAGCTTATTAAGCTCTTGCAGTATGTTATAGCTGTTAGGCCCTTTCGCTCATGTGCAATATGCTGAAATGTGTTAAGGTTAACAGGTCCTAATTTTGAGTTTTGTGGGTGTTGAAAGAAGCAATGAAACAAACACCGAGTTCTAACCCAGATTTCAGCTTTTGACATGTAAGGGGAATGTATGGGGAAATACCTCTAGGCTTTGGAATGTCGGGGAAATACCTCTAGCATACTTAATTGATGGATATCACGCATTATTTAATAGGAGTGTCTAGTCATCTAGTCACATGTTCAGTCAACTCTTTGAAGAGGAATTCTGTTGCTACTTGCCAAAGTGCCCTACATTTTATAATTGTAACCATTTACTGTTTATTGTCTTCGTGTTAAAGTATTACATTTGCTACCATCACATGGATAGAAGGATGTGGCGTTTCGTTGGAGTTTCCAGGCCAGTTCTCCTAGCATGCACAGCTGGGAAGTTAGCTTGCCAAATGACAAATTTTAAAGTAGCTATGAATGTCATCTGAGTAAAACTGATGTCATTGGTAATAGAAGCATGTTTGACTGGATCCTTGCTTTTATTGTTTAATTCAGTCAGATTTATTTTGAGCATATTACTTAAATGCTAAATGTGCTTGGCTACATTCCCAGAAGCCATGGGGTTTAAGTTGGCTATGGTTGCATTAAAAATGTTTGCCTCTGGGTCCACATGGTTAATTCATTGTGTTAAAGATATTCAGAGACAAAATCAACCCAACAATGTGTTTTCTGAGCCCATTTTTGACAAGTGAAGACACAGATTCTTGCATATGAGCATGGCCCTGGATCACTTTCATTCATTCAACTTCCATTTTGTTGTGTTTTTAGAAGCACACGTCAATTCTGGCCTGTAGAAGTCATTCTGAATCCTCTTTATAGTGTATAGAATCTCTGCCCTAGTTCATATGTTGATGGAAGTAGGAATTCATACATGTGCATCTCTCATAGAAAGTGAGATGCTCCTGCTCATCACACAGAGAACTCATTCATTTAATTTCTTACACATGCCTCCAACAACAAAAGGCAAAAATCTCATGAATGAAGTCTTTATATGAATAGGCCTAGCCAGTGACAGTAGCTTCGGCCACTTACCTATGAACCAAGTTTATGTGTCCCTCCCTTCTTTCCACCTGATTTTTGTCTCACTTTCTTCTGACAATCCCCATGCATGCCACTTTTTCTGGTGGAGCCTCACAAACTCAATACACTATAAAATGTCTATATTTTTCAAACATTTTGGAGGCTGCAATTGTCGATTGAAAATTGAAGGGAACAAACAAGGGTAAGCTCATGTACAAGGATTGCAGCAGATCTTTGAAAGGCCTGATGGCTTAAAAGCTTGGTCTTGTGATAAAGTAGAGGCCAGTCTGATGAGATTCCACTAATGAAACAATTTGCTCAAAATGAAGTTAAGTGAGGTTGTTTATGCAAGACTTTCAGGGGTGGAGGTGAGACAGACTGAAAGCTCATGTGAACAAACACTCTGGTGCCTGGATCAAAAGTTACCTTTGACACAGGGCACAATCCAAAGGGGAGTTTTTCCATTCAAACCTGAACAAGAATTATAAAAGCAACTTCCAGTTTTTCATTTGGCTCCATTCCTTTCAGTTGGGCTTGCTGAGTAGGTTTCTAATGGATTCTCTACCCAGAATCAGATCTGTCTGTCATCCTGCTACCCAAAATCTCTTTGGGGTTGAAGTTGCTGCCATGCTTTCCTTCCTGGTAGAACTGCCAGTTGGTATGAATGCTAAGTGATGAGTATGATGGGAAATGTTGCTGATAGAGAAGAAGGCTGAGATGGAAAATCCTGGATATAAAGTTTAAGTTTCTGAAAGAGTTGTGAAGAAATAAGCAGTGAGATTTTTGCAGACTTAGGTCAGGCAAGGGAGGAAAGTAGATTGCAGTCAACTAGTAGATCTCCATGTGATTGTCATGAGATCTATAAGGTTTCCTGATTCTCACTTGTTTAACAAAACTAACAACTAAAGACTTTCCACTTTCAAAATTTGACTGCTGAAATGGAAGAAAGATTATGGGAAAACCAGGCGTATATTTTTGTGCAATAGAAAGTGAACTCAGTTCTGGTACTGAAAGACTCCTCTGTTGAGTGTTTACTCAGAGCCACACTTAATCTTTAATTCGTAGTGTTCTTCCTTCACAACTATTTTGCACCTGACTCTGGTTGCTGGATCTCAGAGTTTTGGTAAAGAATAAGGTAGATCCTGCAAGCCTGATGCCCAGCTTGACGTACTTGGGAAGGTGGTCCAGTTTCTGAATATCAAAGATGGTATCCATGATCCCATTGCTACTTACCTCTTAGTGAGCAGCAAAGGTGGATTTATTTCACCAGGATTTTTAAGGTTGTTCACTAAGGAGTTTACTGTTGCTGAAACTACTGTTATGAACTGTTCTAGAGTAGTCTGCTTTGCTTGGTTGTTGTTGTTTATTGTTTGTAAGCTGCTTTGATTATATTTTGTATTGCAAGGTAAAATAGAAATGTCAGAAGTCAATAACTGACTAACCTTTACAGTCTTTAGAAAGTGAGCTTCTGCTCCTTGGTGTTGTGCACATTCCAGATAATCTGTCTGAGTGGATAATGCAAATGCATTTGCTGTTACTCAGGCCATTTGCTGTGTGTGTGGGGGGGGAGAGAGAGAGAGAGAGAGAGCACATGTGTCGAGTTAAGCCCTGTTGCCGCCTACCACATGTCTCCAATTTAATGCTACTTTCTATGAGAATATGTACAAAGGGAAATAAAAACAACCCAACAAGCAAAGCAAGAGGATCTGGCTGCTAACTGCAGATTGATTGTGAAGTTTATGGGTTGTTTCCTTGATAGTGCCAAATCAGCACCTGATGTACTAAGTTGTGAGTGATCTGAAGAAAGTTCTAATTAAGTTCAGGGTGGTGTTGAGGATTTATAGGGGTACAGCACAGAAGCTTTCCCCCCACTCCACCTTGCATTATACATACCAAAGAACAAGCTTGCTGCCAAGATAATATTTGCGTGACATCATAAAATATATATTTTACAACAAAGCCTTTCGTGGGAATGAATGAGAAAATGAAGCTGCCTCTAGCCTCATCCTTTGCAAAGCTGTACATAATGTGGAGCTCATGTGATAATGATCACACATTTTATATTGTGGTGGTCTGCTTTTT